ATCTAGGAATGCCTTATTTTATGTTTGTGGGCATTTTGCATGTATGTTTGTACACCACGTGTGTACCTGGTGCTCTCGGATCCCTGCTAGTTGTGTGAACCACCATGTGGTCACTGGCAACCAAGCCCAGGCCCTCTGCAAGAGCAACAAGCACCCTTATCGGCTGAGCTGGTGCTCCAGCCCCAAGGTTTTAATGTTGGCAGAAGCCTTAGCTACTGAAATGTATTGCCATCTAGTAGGATTTGAAGGTTATTTTACACACTTTGCCAGCATTGACCGGACACCCATTTTAGGTGCCGTGTCACCGTTACTTTTGTTGACAGCTTAAGGGGTTGTTTAAAACTGTAGTAGTGAACTTGAAACTCCTTTCCACATTAAGGTGAAATGTCCACAGTAAATGCTAACATGCTTGCATGGAGGATCTGAGTCTGATTGGCCAGAACTCGTGGAAAAGGCCAGGTGTTGTGGCAAACCTTTGTAATCCCTGTCTTGGAAGGTAGAGACAGGAAGAAAGCTGGCCAGTTGGCGTAGCTTAACCAGTGATTGTTAAGACCTAGCCAGAGACCCTGTCTGAAAATACTGTTCCCGATAAAGAACACTTGAAGCTGACACATCCGTATCTACACCACCCCCAGTAACTTTTAAGTAAAGCTACTATAGTGGAATTTAAGTTTTATATTACAGGGCTTTAGAGTAAGAAGCCCATGCAAAGCTATGGGTATGATTTCTCGATGCTGTGTGTTAGCTTTGATTTTGTTGGTGAGCACTCCTCCATTGGAGAGAGGATTCCCCTGTCCATCCATTCCCACATTCATCTATTGCGGAGAGGATGATCAACCCTCACCTCCACTTTCCCTTGGGAGTGGTGGATGCAGAGGCTCTGTGCCCTACACATGTAATGAGCACAAAGACTATCTAGATGAGCTGCCTGAAAGAACTAATTCTGGAAACAGGACAGAGCTACTCTACGCCTGTAAACATCTCTCTCCCCCGCAAAGCAAACAGGAAGGAGTCTGCAGTTTGGCCAGATGGACTTACTGAGGACTGCAGCAGAGCTGGACTGAATGACCTTTTTGGGGTTGGGTCTTTCTGGAGCTCTGTTAGACATATCCATCCAAGGACCTGTGAGCGGATTAAGGAAGGGGAGGATGCCGTCAGTGAATGGTGAGGCATTTTGAATGAACACTGGTATCTGAACAGGGCAGGTTCTGATGGGGCCAGTCAGAATTCCATACACAGAGTTCTTAACTAATCCTTGACCCTGTAAGCCAATAGTGTATTCTAGCTTAGAGGGGCCTCAATTTTCCTGTAGTCTACTGAGCATTATTTGGGTAGTCAGCCTTGATGGCTTTTTATGCAGATGCGAGGTGAACCTCTTATGTGTTGTTGTTACACCTGAGGTACTGTCTCTCACCTAATCTCCACAGCAGGGGCAGGCATTGAAAACTCTTTTGTTTCTCCTGAGGTCAGCAGACGTGCACACCTGCCTCTCCTATGCCGGTTCCCTCCTGTCTGCACCCTGCACTCTGGTGGACACTGTCACAGAGATGGCTGTTGCCCATTTTAACATGGGTAGAAATAAGAAATACATTTTTAATTTTACTTTTAGTTAAAATTTTTTCAAAGCTACGTGGAGCTACTTGGCATGTCTTGACTCGATAGATAATAAAGCTGCCCAGCACATGTATTCAGTGTGATTAAACCAGTGGCGGATTTTGAAATTCTATTCGATGCTAGTCTGAGTGAAAAATCTCACATGCCACAGGGTATCTGACCACTTGG